TCAGATGAATACAATGAAACTGTCTAAAGTCCATTGCCTTGCATAAAAAAAAATATATGACACTCGACTGGCTAAAGGTGGTGGCACTGACTACAAGGAGTACCACATTGTAGGTGAAAGCAGAGAGAGGAATGCCTCCTATGGGCTTCAAAAAAAAAAAAGGGCAAATGTATACCAGACCCTAGTTGGTATGTACACCTTGATGAGAGTATGAACCAGGGGCGGACTGACCATTTGGAAACTCGGGCAATGCCCAAGGGCCCGAGGTCAGTAGGGGGCCCCCGGAGATGCCCCTGGTACCTTTTCATAGGCTTTTTTGAGTTTGGGCAAGGACACAGGGGCCCCATGATCCCCTATTGACCAGGGGCCCCATGAGTTGTCAGTCCGCCCCTGGTATGAACCCTTTGAAATGGCCAAGGCATAGAGTCTAAGCAAATATACCAGATCTTCATCAAAGTTCCCAGTTAGGACTGATGGACTTTCCTTATGGGTGTACCAGGTTTTGACCTTCAGACACACCTGTGCAGATGGCAGCTAACTGATTAGGTAAGCACAATTAGGAAACAGGGGCAGGCATAAAATCAGGCCAAGTAGCAAACAAGCACAGTCAGATACAAGCTGAAGTCAGTAAATAGAGAAACATATATGCAGGAATCAACATGGACTGTAGCCTGAGGCTAGGAGATGAACCACTTCCTTATAGCACTATAGCCAAATGATGGCTAAAGCGCAGGTGTCCAGTTCTGAGAGGGCGCCATATGTCATCCTCCCAGAACGCGCCCCCCCCAGCGGCTCGCTTCCAGCACTGTCTGTGATTGCTGTGTCCTTTGAACACAGCTGAGCACATGACATGGTAAAAGGCCAATCACAGCAGCCTTTTACCACGTGATCAGCTGTGTCCAGTTGCAGCTGATCACCATGTAAATACACTTGCCAGTTATCAGCAGCACTTTCCTCACGTTTTGTCACAGTGTGAGGAAAGTACTTCCGATAACCGGCAACTGTCAAAGGAGACATCTGCACTGATAATCAGGGCACTCATAATCAGGGCACTGATTATCAGTGCAGCCCCAAAAGTGCTCAACAGTGCTGCCCATCAGTGCTACCTAGCACTGCTGCCAATCTGTGCCTGTCAGTGCCGCCAGTCAGTGTCACCTATCAGTGTCACCAGTCAGTGCTGCCAGGCAGTGCCCTACAGTGCTGCCTATTAGTGTCTATCAGTGCCACCTATCAGTGCCCATCAGTGATGTCTATCGGTGAAGGAGAAAAATTACCTGCTTGCAAAATTTTATAATAGAAACAAAGAAAACCTCTCCTTTTTCCAAAATATTTGCTATTTTTTTTTAGTTTATAGTAAAAAAAAATTACAAAAAACAGTGGTGATTAAATACCACCAAAAGAAATCTCTATTTGTGTGAAAAAAATGATAAAACTTTCATATGGGTACAGTGTTTCACAATTATTCAAAGTGCGACAGCACTGAAAGCTGAAAATTGGCCTGGGCAGGAAGGGGGTAAAAGTGCACAGTAGGCAAGTGGTTAAATTAATGCTTGGGCAACAGTTGTTAGACTGAGCACAGATAAAAATCAAGCTTGGTTAACAAGCCGGGTGTGGATCTCATCCTCATCCTGACCTCAACCTGTAGGTGCTTACCTTCCATTTCTGGAATAAAGCATGCTGTAGCAAGGAACAAGACACCACATACAGTAGTAGAGCCACAAGCAGCATATCTGCATTGCACTTGATCTGAGACACAGATCAGGTCTTATTGAAAGGAATGAGATGCCCACGTTTTTTAAACAAGATAGAAAGGGCAGAATATAGAGCTTTAAAAGTGCTGAGAGCCAAAGGTTGGTCCAGACACAGTCATTTCAGCACTCTCCACTGAAATAAAGGCAGGACAGCCTCTTTCTGCTGGCCCTGATGTGTACAACTATGAAATGATCTTGCTACTCAAATCAAATGGAAGTTCTGATCTAAGGAGGATTGTTGAATGCCAAAGCGAAAAGTCTCCTACCAAGCCTAATTTGTTGCTGTGACTGTATGAAGGCTAAGCAGATCAAAGCTCATAGCATTGCTTCCTTTCCTGATAAAGATGAAGAGTTTGGCGAGAATGCACCAGCAGACTTTGCTTAAACAATCCAATTTTGTGACATCCTTTCTTGTTGCGAAAAAGGAAAGAAAAAATGATTTAACAATTATGTAAATGGTTTACAAATAGAAAGGTTTATAAATAGTTATACATTATTGCATCTTGTTCTCTTAAAGTAGTATTGACAAACAAACATGTCATACTTACCTGCTCTGTGCAGTGGTTTGCACAGAGCAGCCCCGATCCTCTTCTTTTTGGCTCCCCCACTAGCGCTCCTGGCTCTTCCTCCATGGCCAGTTGCCCTCAATAGCAAGGCACTTGTTATGGGGGCACTGGTGCGTGCTCGCTCCCAACCACTCTGTGCATCCCCAAGACATATAGAGCCGTGGCTCAACTCTGCCCCTGCTCTCTCCTCATTGGCTCACTAACTGTAATTGTCTCAGCCCAATGAGGATTGGGAGTCCCAGGACAACCAAAGCTCTTGTGCACATTGCTGGATTGAGAGGGGGCTCAGGTGAGTATTAGGGTGATGTATGTGGTACTGTATGTGCCCCGTAATTTTGCTATTGTGACGTAACCAGAATATACTGTTATTAAACTCAAACTTTTTTTTGCCTTTGTGTCTCTACCAGTACTTTATAGGAGAAGATATTTCTCATTTATTTTTTAAAAATTAGTAATTACCTTGCTGATCCTGCCATTTCTATGAACTTCGCTATTATCTGCTGCAACACTACCACAGGCAATACTCCAGCTGTTGCATTGTCACTCTCATGTTTCTCCAATACCCACCAGGAAGCCATTCACTTCCTATTTTACCCTCTGAAAGAAGCCCCACATGACTATTTTGATTGGCTTGAGGGGCAACTCAAGCATGCGGACTGATAGCGTCTCCCTCTCCCCTGTTCCCCTCTTTGTCAGCATGTAGGGCTGCTACAGTAGGGGTGATTTTATTCTCCCCTGCTAGCCCCTCCATGTGACTCACACTTCAAAGGCTGAAGGGCCGATCCTTGATTGGCAGCAGCTCCGACAGGGAGCCTAACTGCTAATCTATTATGAAGCATGTTGCTTCTGCATTATCTGCAGATAGCTATATTCCTGTAGCAACATCAGCAGCTTCATAAGAGCTTTCCTGCCTGTTCTGCCAACTGTCTCCCAGTGTGGAAAGGTGCAATGTCTAGAAGTCATGTGACCATAGTACATATAAAACATATAAAAATTTAGTGCGCTGCACACTAAAAAAATCATAAATTAAATAAATACTGCTACATAAAATGTGCATATATTAATTGAAATTATATAAGTCCACATTCATATATTAAATAATTAAAAGTCCCAAAATCCAATAACAGTGCTGTGTGCTAAAGAAATCCTCCAACGGAAAGTGCATAGGTGTCCACAAATGCTTTACACAAAAGAAAAAATCAGCCTCTTACCAGACACTTTGATCTCCAATCAAGAGATCAAATGAGCAGATGGTGTTCAGATCCACACTGACACCCTAGTTAGCCTTATCAAGGAGATGAATGGACAACTGCAGGTTTACTTGAACGGATCCATCACATCAGACAGCTTTCCACATCATGCAAGGAAAGGTTTAAAACAGAAGAAGAAAACTTCACAGTGTGACACGATTGACCAGCAAAAAAGTATTAAAATATTGCACTTACATAGATAAGGTGCATAAAGGCAGTGTAAACATTTAAAACTCCCGCAGTGTCAGACCACCAGCCATAACAAGGTGACATCACAGGAAGCTCCACCCAACGCATAATTTCTCTAAAAATGGTGTCCTCTGTGATTGGAGAACAGTCATGTGACCACGGTACACTGAACCAAAATAAGGTATTTGGGAAAATTATACTGATCCATGATATAGGTTATTGTTCTTATTGCTGCATTGGCTGATCACCCATTCAAAGTGGTCTTAAATTGTAATTTAGAAATAAAAAAAAAATGAAAAACTGAACTAACACTTCTAAACCCTCCCCATCTTCCACCCCCTAGTTCCCACTTTACTTACCTCTGTGGGAGATGCGCTGTTAGTGCCCAGACAGCTGGTGTAGAGGCCCAGGGATTTGAAATCAAAGTGATTCTGATTGATCAGCACCAATACAGAAAATCACTCAGATCCATCTCAGAAGCCCTGCAGAAAGAAACGGGAGAAGAGTTGGGATATCAAATGCCTGGACCACTACATCAGCTGTGTGGCAACTGTTGCTCATCCCCCAGAGAGGTAAATTCACCTTTTAATTGTTTTACTTCTTTTAAAAAGGTGGTCTAACCCTTTATTATATTTTAGTTTTACTTATGGACATAGGAAGAATTGGGTAATGTAAGTGATGTAATGTGGAGTGGTTTAGGCAATGTTTTGCATGTATATTTCTTTTCAAAAAATTATGCTTTGAACAGATTGTCAGCAATAACTGCCTGATGTGCCATAACCTTTCCAAGTTATAATAGAAAAAAAAAAAGAAAATATCTCATTCAGCAAAAAATAGTTCAGGTGCTGACAATTGATAGCTGTCAATTAGTTGTTGTGGACAGATAAAAGGGATTTTTCTCCATGCACACAGGCAAGGCACAAGTACGTCTGTACTGCATTTAAAATAACTCAGACATAGTCTGTAAAAGTAGATGTAAACCTAACCATTAAAATGTTATATAGACTTTAAAGGATAAGTTCACCTTTTTAACATGTTACATATTCCACCCGTTTTTATTATTATTATACAGTATTTATATAGCGCCAACAGTTTGCTCAGCACTTTACAATATAAAAGGAGACAATACAGCAACAATACAATTCAATATAAAAGGGTTAGGAGGGCCCCTGCTCCTTGGAGCTTACAGTCTAAGAGGGAGGGGTTAGTGGTACAAAAGGTTTGGGTCAGGGGCGGACTGACTCATGGGGCCCCGGGCAATAGGGGATCATGGGGCCCCTGTGTCGTTGCCCAAACTCAAAAAAGCCTATAAAAAGATACCAGGGGCATCTCATGGGGCCCCCTACTGACCCCGGGCCCTCGGGCAGTGCCCGAGTTTCCAAATGGTCAGTCCGCCCCTGGTTTGGGTAATATTTGGAGACAGGATTGGTGATGTAATTTGGGGCAGAGTTATAAATAGCTTTAGGGTGCAACATGTTCCTATAGCTGCAGCCGCCCCCGCTGCCCCCTCTCCAACTGACAGACAGTACTGAGGGAAGTCTTCCCGTACTGTCTGTCAGATTTGAACTGGACTTCTGTAAATAAATAAACTCAAGTCCTGACAGCCTTAGTGGCTCTCAGCTTGTAGTTTTCAATGAACTACTATGGCACTTTGAAGCGGCTTAGTAATTCATTGAAGCTCCCTGTCGGAATATCTGCTTGTTTGTACATCCCATACAGCAAGCAGATATTCTGACAGGTCTGTAGGAGACCTGCATGGCATCAGTGATCTACTGATCAAGTTGCAATGCTTTCCAGGCTCCTTTGGACAAAAATAATAAATGCACATTTTACCTGGATAAAAATGTGCATTTATTATTTTTGGCCAAAAAGTGAACGTATCCTTTAACATCTTGTAATACTGATATAAAGGTCCTCAATGGGCATGTTATGGGGTAACAATACCCTGTCTTTGGCTCCCATAATGTCTGCAAATCACGCTGTTATATGTCTTCCTAAAGAATAAAATAGATTTCTGGGTTGATGCACAGGAATATTACCCAGTTAAAAAAACAACAAATGAAGGGCCAGTTTGCTGTTCTTTAGACTTTAGAGGGGTGGGACTGTGGCTAGAGGGAGTAGAAAATGTCCTGGCGTTAATGGGAGTGAACAATGCCCTATTTTTGGTATTAGAGAAATAGTGCCCCATTGTTGCTGCCAGTGGGAGGAAAAGTGCCCCAACATTGATGTCAGTGGAAGGAATATTGCCCCATGTTTGGTGTCAGTGGGAGGAATAGTCGCCATTGTTGGTATCAGAAGGAGGAATTATGACCCAGTGGAAGGAATAGTGCTCCAAGGGCCGGATAAAGGCAAGCAAAGGGCCACCTCCAGCCCCTGGGCCAGAGTTTAGAGATCACTGCCATATGAGAACAAACCTGCAGCCAGTTAGCATTGAAAAACATGTGGTCTGAAGGGCAGGTTGTGAAAAAAAAAACACACACACACACACACACTGAGCCCTTTATGACTGTAGAAAGTGCATGTGGAGAGGCTGTAAAGAGGCTGCAGGACACACATCAGCAGTATTAAAAACTGTTTCTCCCTGACCTCCAAATTCCTCAAGATACACAACATTTTGCTGCCTAAAGGACATTTGCTGAAGGGTCTACTTTAAGAGAACTATGATGATAGCAGTCTCAGATCCCTCCGGTGCTACCAAAATGCAATGATATTTCTCTCAGCCTCAGCCTGCACAGAGATTTTCCAGCTCAAGGGCACAATCTAATTGTCAGCAGACAAGTAGGGCAGGTTAACTCCACAGTTAACCTTTTTGTACACACAAACAGTAGCTGCTTCCAAGTGTTTTAACAAACACATGCACCATCCACATCATCTGTTGTTGCAATTCTGACCTTAAGAAATTGTTTGTAACATTCACTGCAATGCCCAGTCAGAAATGCATCAGAGTTTAAATATGGTATATTTTTTTAAAGAGACAATATGTTTTTTATTGCAGGCCAGAGTATTTTGAGATTCAATTTAATGATTTTAAAATATTCTGTTAATGAAAAGAAAAACAGTGCAGTATAATATTTACAGAGAAATTTTTTTACCAAACAGACAATTTGGCTTTGGCTCCTGTGAAGAGTCCAATTTCCTTTGGAGTAAGTTCAGTATGACAAGGTTAGTAGCCATCATATAAGACTCTTTCAGTAGCCTTAACAGTTTTGATATCAAAATGAGAGTGACAGCTTCCAATATCAGCAGCTTTGTTGACCTTTTAGAGGAGCAGTTCTCAACCTGTGGGTTGCACGACCCTTTCGCAGGGGTCGCCTAAGACCATCGTAAAACACATATTTACGATGGTCTTAGGAACCGAGACACCGCTCCTCTATCCGTTTCCAGGCGCGTCCGCCCACATGCAGATACGCCCACATACGAGTACATGGCGTGATGATATCATCGCGCCAACCCCATCACATACACCCTGTACAAATACAGGTGTATGTGACAGGGTTGGCGCCATAATGTACTTATGTGGACCAGTCGCACATGTGATAAAGTAGCTACTGTGTAGAAAGCAGCTGCTGTATTGAAAGCAGCTACCCTGTTAAAAGCAGCTACTGTGTTGAAAGCAGCAGTATTGGAGGTAAAACAACACTCATGAATTATAATTACTGGGTAAATGTAAAATCATGTAAAAAAATGTAGCAATGTAGTTTACTGTTGTTATATTAAGACTGTTACCCATGCTACACCATGCTTCAAGACAAAATTTCATTTATTTGTAATTAGAAATAAATATTTCACAATATATAATTACATATTGTTTTTGTGATTAATCACTATGCTTTAATTATGTTCAATTTGTAACAATGAAAATACATCCTGCATATCAGATATTTACATTACGATTCATAATAGTAGCAAAATTACAGTTATGAAGTAGCAACGAAAATAATTTTATGGTTGGGGGGTCACCACAACATGAGGAACTGTATTAAAGGGTCGCGGCATTAGGAAGATTGAGAACCACTGCTTTAGGGGGTGTCACTGGGCCAACCCCCACTCAATTTAAAGAGCTGAGGGGTGCAATGTAGGAGTCCCTAAGTGTTTTATTACACTTTAAAAGACACACCCTTAATGCTAATTTTTTAACTAAATATACTTTGCCAGGTGACAAGGTTTTTCAATTCAAGAAGCAACAGGTAAACAAATAAAATGAAACTCTGATTTGATAAAGACCAAATATGATATATATATCGGATGCATAGATTGCTTTGGAGATCCAATGTGACCAATTTTGGTGTCCTCCTGATCATTTTTTCTTACACATTTGTGGATTATGGATAATGAATGGAGTTAAAAGTTGGAGATGTATGAAAGGATAAGTAAAACTAGACTTAGAAATGTGTATTGCTTCCAAACAGTTTTATGGCTATTTACAACAACTCTTAGCAGGATCTGGCTTCAGGGATATTCTGCTAATAGGGATTAATTACACTGCTGCATTCCTCTTAGTGGGCCTGAGTCCTGTCAAAGGTGTGTTACCTAGAATGTTTGATTAGGATTTATACTGGCTCTGCTTTGTGTCTTGAACTGTCTGTGTTTATTTTTTTCAAGGGTATTGCCATCTGATCTGTGGCTTTTTGAAATTGTTGCTTCTCATTTTGTTGCTGACTTGTTGCAAAATAAGTGTGTCACCGTTTTCAATACAACATCCTCTTTCTCCCCACTCAGTTTGGGGTTCATCATACATCATTATCTTAACAAGAGCAGTACAAGCCCTACACTAATCTGTCCTTCATCAACAGCACCCTCTATGCTTTCTCTCGCAAAATCACTATGGATACTGGGAACCCTGCCTGCCTTTGAAGGACTGGCACAAAAGACAGCCCTCATATTTGCAATTTAAGTCCCCTGATCTATGTCCAGAGGCCAGTATGTGCATTATTAGTAGTTGGTTCCTATGGCCTCAAAAATCACATTAGTATGCTATGCTCACGAATAGTTTAGGCTCACCTTGAATCCAACCTTGACTCAGACCCAAAGCTCATGTATAGTCATTGCAGATTGTTATAGTCAAGCATCACACTATGATGTGTTACTTAAGATTCAAGTGTTTCCCGAAGTACTAATTTTAATGTGATATTTAGTATTTGGCACCTTCCATAACCTTGCAATAAAAATCATTGTGCTTCCATAGGTTTGAAGCAGCTACCAACTTGTAATCTGTTATGTGGCTCCCTCTGATGTATTTTTCAGTGAAACAATTTACTAGACAATGATCGCTACCAAATCTGTGCCTACCCTAAAGTGTTTAGAAAGTACACACAATTGATGGCTGTTCATCTATCGTGACCAGCCAGTCGACATCTTTCTCCTTCAAAATGCTGAGTAATTGTTTTCAACCAAACTGTTTGTATATCTTAAAGCGGTTGATAAAAAAAATCTTCAGTGTACAGCAGTGCCCCCAGCCCCCCCAATACTTACCTGAGCTCCATTGAGATTCAGCAATGTGCATGGCAGCCTCGTCTGTCCCCGGTCTCTGCCTCCTCATTGGCTGAGACATTGGCTCCCACTGCTGTCAATCACATCCATTCAGTCAATGAGGAAATAAAGGGGTGGAGACAAGCCACGGCTCCATGTGTGAATGGACACACAGAGCAGCAGGTGCCCCCATAGCAAGCTGCTTGCTATGGAGGCACCCGACAGAAAGGTGGAGCAAGGAGAGCCTAGAGAAGAGGAGGATCCAGGCTGCTCTGTGCAAAACCACTGCACACAGCAGGTAAGTATACACACATTTGTTAATTTACAAGAAAAAAAAATTAACCTTTAGTATCGCTGGAATGGAGAAGAGTTGTTGTTTTATTCCTGTTGATTGTGGTTTTCCAGCAGACTCCTTTTAATGACATTTACTCAAGGTTTGGGCACAACAGGGGCCAAATTTAGGAATCCTCTGTAGAACAATGCACACTTACTTACCATGCTCAGAAGAAGGTACATGCCCCTTTGATTCCTTTTCACACTACTCCCTGGGTTCCTGGACGTGATCAGGAAAGATAAGATCCTCAGCTTTCCTCCTTCAGCAGCTCATAGAGGCCACATGTGATGAGGCATTTTTAGCTTGGCAAGGATCTGCAGACAGGCCAGTATCCCTCCAACATCAGAACCGCTGTGTGGGCAGTCGGGCAGAAGCCTAATAGTATGCAACTTATGTGGAATACCCAGCTGTGAGGAGTCCTTTCCTAACTTATACTCCAGTTCCAGTGGGGCTGCCATCTGTCCTTGGGCCTTGGATCCCTCCAGCTGTTCACCTGTGTTAGCACACTGAGCATCAATGTTAGCACATTTAGCATCATTGATAGGGATGCTGGTTATGGGGATAATCACAAGTAGCTGTGTTCTATTCTGTTTTACTGAAGTAATGATTCTCAGCTAAATTATTTTTTGTAAAAGAGTCTTATACAGTAGCTTCACTAGAGTTGGTGTCACCTGGTGTGGCAAAACATGGTGTCACCCCCTCCCCCCATTCATTTTTTTCCCATATGCCACTGGACACTAAGTGGGTTAGCACATCGGTGCAGCACTCCCCCCCAGCCTGCCTCTGTGTTCTGTCCTGCCACTATGGTATGACAGCAAGACAGGACAGTTAACACTAGGCAGGCTAGCACATCGGGCTCTCCCCTGTTTAGCCTTCCAGGCTGCCACAGTGCCCTGCAGGGTGCTGGGAAAGCTAGTTTTGGGCCAACAGCATGCAGTCACAGTGCACACCCCAAACCCAGTAAATGATGTGATTGGTGCCAGCTCGCAGATCAGTGCAGTGTCACGGATGGGGGTGACAGTGACAACATCGCTGTCGGATACACTTCCTACTTGATGGTGTCACCAGGGACATCTTAATAACATCATGGACCCTTAGGCAAAGCCATGCACTGGGGCCCCTACCAGCCAGCCCCAATTTAAGCACATACTCTCAAGAATTAAAGTATAAATAGCTGATAAAATTAAACATATATTTCTTGGTACTTCAATAAGATCAATTTTAAATTATAAGAAAACATGACCTAAATCAAGGATTAATCAACACAAATATCCAAAAAATGTAAAAAAGTTAGTAGGGCAGAGTACAGGGATCAGCGGGGCAAGAGAGTCAGAGTATGAGGGGGAAAGATGGCACAGTACAGAGATGGCAGGGGGTACAGTACATGGGGGCAGTATGGCACAGTATGGAAGGGGGGCAAGAGGGTACAAAATGGTACAGTACAGGAAGGGGGAAGGAGAGCACAGTATGGGGGGGGGGGGTCTGGAGGGTACAGTACAGCAGTTAGAAGGGCACAGTACAGGAGGCAGCAGGAAGGCACAGTACGGGGTGGGGGAGACAGTACAGGGGATAGGAGGGTACAGTATAGGGGCAGTAATATATAATACAAAGATGGACTCATCAAGCCAAGCTGCGCAGAGAAGCTGCTGTCACAGATCTTACCTATTCTGACAGCTGTGACTGAATTGGAATGACATCTCCCCCTCTACCTTCCCCTCCATAGTTTCTGGCTCTATTCTGCTGCTTTCCGGGGGTTAAGGAAGAACCCAGAGGAGTAGCATCTTACTAATGCTGCTGCTTATGTAGGTGAGATGTGCACTAAGCCGATCACATTGGAATGAATAGGAGAAGATCAGTCAGCAGGGATCAGTGCCATAAACATCCCACCCACACAAGCAGCAGCAGTAATAAGATGTTCCACCTCGGGGTTCTTCCATATCCGCTGAAAAAAAATTGGTAGTGGTGGGAGTTGGGGTTGGGTTGGGAACCATAAGGTAGGGGAGAAGGCAAAAAGGATGGGGGTATTGGTAGGAGATGGGGGATGGGTAGAGAAAAAATGGAATGAAATTGGGGGATCCAGGTCTAAATAGGGGCAAAAAAGGGGGACGATTTGCACTGGCATGAGGGAAGGGGGAGGAGAAGAAAATAGATGGGGGTCAAGGGGACTGGAGAGGAATGGCCATGGGAAATACTATCGGTGAGGAATAGTCACATTATTGCAAAAGCAAAGGGGCTGGCAGGGAGGGGGAGAGATTTCCATTGAATAGCAAAGAAACAGTGTTGGGGGGGTGTGCATGGAGGGGGATTCCAGTCACCTGCAGTGTTTGCTGTGTATGCCGGGACACACCTGTGTGAAGATGTCCATACAGAGAACAAGCAGATGAGGAAGGAGGGTGGGGGAGTGAGAGAAAGTGAAAACTGGAGGGACTATTTAAAGGAAAGTGTCAGGAAGAGAATTTGGCTGGCCAGGGGAAGAGGCAGTACATTAGCAGGGCTGTTAGATGCTGGCAAACCGGCTGGCTAAGAGAAAGGAGCGAACAATCAGAGAGAGAGAGGCAGTGTGATAGGCAGAGATGGATGGATTTGTGTGGGGAAGGAAGGGAATAGGACAAGATAGTGGCTGAGGGGGAGAAGAGGATTCTGAATAGAGTGATCGATGAAGACGATAAGGGAACTGACCTGTAGAAGGTGGAAAAAGATGGAAAAAGAGCCGACCACAGCGAGGGAAACTGCAGAGGCCCCCCAAGCATCTAGGACCCCTGGGCAGTGCCCAGGCAGTGGTGCACTTATATTAAGACAGTTTGTGTGTCACCCCTCAGGCGGGTGTCACCTGGGTGCTGTCCACACCCCCCGCACCCCCATAGCGACGTCACTGATCTTATAAAGACTATGATATGCAGCCACATGTTAACCCGAACCTGAGCCACAGAAACATTTCTGTGAAGAGTCCATTTTTTTTCAGAATTGGTTATGTATTATTTCACAGTGTATGCATGCTCTTTGCCATCCTGAACCCATTTTGCAAAATTTCATCTAAGTTTGCACCAATTTAGTAAACTGCAAGTAACAGTTACTCCCTGTCTGATGATTTGGCTGATTACCTATTTTGTTAAAACTTCCAGAAATTCATAGGATAGGTGGTACATTATCATGTGTGATTAAAAACATTACATTAGATCCACTTACAACCCTTTTATCTATGCTTACAATTTTGTACTTGGTTTAGGAATTAGTTTACTACCATCACAAATCAATAGTGCAGCGCTAAGATAAATTAAAATGTATGTGCAATACAATAGTGCAATGCAAGTATATCAAACTCTTATGTGTCACCACAAAATGAAAAAATAAAAGGAATCCAAATGTGAAGCCAAAAATTGTGAATTCAGTGGTACGTCGATTATGAGGGAAATGACAGATGTGGATGTCAAATGCCACCAAAACGTCTTAATGATGAACCACACAGCACCTTGGTGTACAACAAAGGGAGGCTAACCAGAATCATATGACTTCTAATTAAGAATGGTCAACCAGTATCATGAAAAAGACAGGCTCTCCATAATGTAATCCTAATTAAAACACCAATTTAATGTGGTAAATGCACTTACAATGAAAAGATGACAATCAGGCACTTCATATATAAACAACTCGTATTCCAGAATCCAAGATGGCTGCAGTGGGATAGCGTATGTGTAGTGGCGTGTGTTCCTTCTCTGCCCTACTAGTTTGATTAAAAAAATGACTTCATCAGGTGCATGGGACACATGCTGCCACTCATCCCTTTTATACAAAACAATACAGGAAGGAAGACATCCTAATTAGTGCAGAGTACAAAGGCCAAACATTGATAGTTAACCCTGCATACAAATTGCAGTGCCAAACACATTCAGCACTGTCTCATGAATGGTGCTATAGCAACATAAAAGTGTTGATAACTTCTATAAAAAAGTGTTGATAACTTCTATAATGCAGCATCTTGTGGTCACAAGTAAAATTGACTACAATAAGGTAAAAATAAGTGTAAAGAACTAACAAAAATTATCAACATAATAATATCCTTCGTATCCCTGGAAATGTATTATCCACATATTTTTATATAAAAATATTATAAATGATGAATTGGTGCTGCGCTACTCAGTGCATAAATGAATAATCAATGGACATATAAAGAAAAATATTAAGTGACGGTATAAATAAATATAACCCACACCCAAGTGTAAAAAGGAAAACTGCTAAAAGCAACAGCTGCTAAAATCGTGACCAAAAAGATTAATGCAATTATGCTAATATAAGGCATCCACATAGCAACAAAGTGTATTCAATTAATTAGTGATAG